ATCTCCCTACCATCTTCCCCCTACTCATCGTTTGATCTTTGATCCGACATCTCAAACTATTTTATTTTTAGTTTTTTTTTTATACAAATTGTATGAATATGAAATTTGGTACGTGTTATCTTGTCATTAGGGCGCACCTATAAAAAATATTAAAAATAAATTTACGATAAAATATAATAACCAAAATACATACTTAAATTTACAGGGGTATTTTGGTTATTTTATTTTATTAAAAATATTTTTTTATATATATATTTTTTGCTGGTGTTAGTTTAATAGCGGAATGGACGTCCAAAATTTGGTGTCAAAGTAGTTTATAGAAAAAAAGTTAAAAATAAAATAGTGTAGAGACGTGACATTGTGATTGAGGCAATCTTAGCCCTCCATTTAGAATGGACAGTTGGATAAAGGGGAGGATAGAACTTCAATGCTGTAGGAGATGCATAGAAAGCTTGCCCAAAATAATATAAAGACTAAATTAGAGGCTCATGTTCTAACCCAATTATTTTTTACAAAAAAAAATTCATCAAAGCCAGTGTCAGATAACCAAGGAGGTTTTTTCAAAAAAATTACAACTTTTTAAGACCGGATTGGATCTTTATGCTTGTTCCCATAAAAACACTATGCTAAAAAAGAAGACATCTTGGATTAGAACTTAGCATTTCGATCTTTTTTGTGGAGAAAATGCATTGAGAAAAGGCCACCATCATAAAATGTAAACATCGGCTAAGGTTTCAATGAGTTGGCGGACTCGTCTATTCATATAAATGCTATCTCTAAAATCCGTCTTAGTGATGCATTTTGGATCCAATTTTTTTTGGGGTTGGCAATCTATACGCGATTAATGTGAATGCAAAAAAAAATAAAAAATAAAAAAAATTGATGATTTAATCTTTTTAGTCCGTAAATTTGTAGGTGGTGGTATAGATGTTAGTTGCACAGGAATGCACATGTAGATGTGCATCCCCTGACGCACAGTATACTTTTCATTCTCTAATACCTCGAAAAAAAAATATTTATGACAATTTCCCTTTTTTTATGAATTTTTTGAAATGTCATTTGTTTGGTATTTCCACCCAAAATACGGGTAGGAATATCTAGGATCAGTTGTGGATCCTTATAGCAAATAATGACCATGAATAATACTTCCCTTTAATTTTTGGTTTACTTGTTGATATTTGGTCATTTTTCTGGCAAAATATTGGCCGGAATATGAAATTAATGGGCGTTAAAAGTGTTTTCCCGGCAAAATCTCGACAGTAATTGCGGAGATTGTGCGATATTGTTTACTGAAATGCCTAAAATACCCCTGCTTCTTACAACCAACCCTTTTTCTTTGGGAATATTGACTGCTTATTTAAGGCTTATCCAGGGTTGATACTTAGATGACTTTTATTAATGCAATTTGATAGTATATTAGCTAATATATTGATGCTTTTGTGAGGGTATTTTGGTTATTTAATTTTATGAATAAAATTCCAGTAGGATTATTTTTTGAACTAAAAAATTTAAAACCATTGACTAATCTCATAAAGAAAAATTACAAATTGAAGTCTCAATTTGCCTAAAGAAAATTATATTGAGCTCGGAGTGTCCAATTTTTGGGGGGCGAGATGCAAATGATGAGAACTCAAAATTTAAATACATATTTATGAAAATAATAATACAAGAATTTTCAAGTGGATCTCAAAATTTCAGACGAAAAATATCCTTACAAGTAGTTTTGTTGTCGAAGGTAGTAAGTGTGCGAGCGATGTGCTCTCGCAGAAGAATAATATACGCCCACGCCCAAGGAGCTATTAAAATTTACCAACTATCTTTTTATCTGATAGAGAAAATATCTTTAAAACAGACTAATCACCTAAAAAAGTAAATGAAGTGGTTGAATAAAAAACATATTCGACAATATCGTTACTTTTTTAACATCTTAAATTAGGCATCTCCACAATAATTTTGAAAATATGCAAATTACCTTTATTTTTTTGTAACACTAGAAAAGTGAGTTGATTTGGTAATTTAATCCGTATACAGGGTAGAAGCCAATATCTTTTGCTTGTTTTGGGTTTCAAACTCGATATATATTTTTATCATTAGAAATATTTGTTCAGGATTTGAAATTGGAACACAATATTGCAATTGGGATTCACCAAAATCACCTCAATCAAAATATATGAATGCCTTTGGTTTTAAGTCACAAACTCAGGGCAAGGTTTTTGAGTGAAAAAACATGTTTTGTGTTTAGAATGTGAAACAAGCATGACTCATTTGATTCAATAGACTTAAGTGGCTAAATTATCAAAATTTTGAACATCTTTCGAGGTTAAAAATCTCAAAAAGGGACAGATTGTGCATTTGGAACAAAAGTATCGAGGATGCACATAAATGTAACAATTTTCTCAAAGGTTAACTTGATTAATTTGTTGATTTACTTAGTTGATTTAATTGGTGGTAGATAATTAGTTGATCTAATTTGTAGTTAATAAATTATTTTGTTCATATTCATATCTGGGTTTTACGCTTACATAAGTTTGATGTATCCATGCTTTTGTAACGAGGCTTTTTGCTAAATTTCTGTTATTGCAGTTACATTTAACTACTATGTCCAAATTAGTTAATTTTTTAATTTATCATGGTTAAGAATTTGCTCTTTATTAATAATCTTTAAATAAAAAGTTTATATAAAGGTGAGGCCCCAAACAATCAAATTAAGGTACAATTCAAAGGTGAGGCCCCAAACAATCAAATAAAGGTTGTCTTAATGCTAAAAAGACTTTCAATTCGATCATCGCGGCTTCGAGTTGTATAGACACGTGAAAAAATAGATTTCAAGTCATGAAAGTAATGCATCTTGTAATGTATTATCGCGACCATTAATTTTCAATATTTTCAATTGTTCATGTTCTGTTCGATCTACACTATGTTTTAACTTTAAATTTGATAAAAAGTGATGAAAATAATTTTTCAAGGCATCATAAAATTTTATGATACTGAAAAACAACTTATTTTGGCACACTACTTTGACGGTGTGCCCTACTTTGGTTGTTTAGGGCCTCGGCCTTATACAAACCACACCATAATTTAATACTCTTATATTTGTCAAGCTAAGATAGGTATTCATATCTTTGTAATCATGTTTTCTTCTAATTTTACTGATTGCAATCACGATTTAACGATGGAAAAAGTTTACATAAAATTGCTATTTTAAAATATAGAATTAAATATGCACCTCAAAAATCTATTGGAAAAAGTTATTTTAATGTTGAAAACTCTAATTGATCATCCCATGAATATAAAAAAAAAAAAGAAGATCTTTGGTCTTAGAAATAGTACGTTTTCCGACACATTATCTAGATTATCCATTTCAAGATATTTATATATTTATCGATGTTTTTTATTTTAACTATTTTTAAAATTTAAAATTTTATAATTTTTATATGAAAATAGATATTTAGATAATCATAAAATTTTTTATAAAATTACATATTATAATAACATTTGGAGGAGCGCTTTAATTGGATTGTTTAAGGTTGCAACCTTATAGAAACACCACACCCACGTACTAATATCTCCAACTTATTATTTTGTAATTTATCATGGATTAGGAGAAGTTACCAACTACCGAGCTTAAAACCATTACTGATTCCGGATTTCTCGTTTGATATCCCCTATATAGAGGCACATAGCACTTAGAAGCCAAACCAGCATTTTTTTCTTACACCACTATTTTATAGTTTTTTTATTATCACAAAGCCCGGAATTTCGGCTTTAATTTATTATTATTTTGTTATTAAATTTCGTGAGCATGCTTAAAAAATTAACCAGTGAATATTTATTTAGGAAAGGAATAAATAATTTAGCTTTTCATATGTAATTTATCCAATATGCATTTTCCATGGACCCGACCACAATTGCTCTCTCTCTCATCATCGTGGCCTCTCTCTCTCTCATGATGATGGATTTTGGAGTTCTGGCGGTATTTTTAGTATTTGTGTGTTTGCTCTACTGTAATTAGTGTTCCAAAACTTGGATCGGTAGGATAAATTATTTATTCACAGTTTCAGATCGTTGGATTAACGATCTGGTTCGGGTCTCAATTAATTTAAATTGGTGATCAAAACAATAATAATAAAATAAAAATGAAAATAAAGGTTTATAGCATAGATATTTAAGACAAATTTAAAAAAATATTACATAAACTTAAAAAATCTGGATCGATCGGGTCGATTATTTATCCATGTTTGCATTGTTAGATTAGCGATCTAGGTCGGGTCTCAATTAATTTAAATCGATGATCCAAAAAATATAATATAAAATCAAAATAGAGGTTTATAAGTTAAATATTTAGGGCAGAACTCAAAAAAACAAATAATTTTTTTTAATTATATATATATATATATATATATAAAAGGGAGATTTTTGGAGAGAACTAGGTTGTGAAGCCTACCATCCCAAAACTAATTGAATTACAACTGATTTCCCTGCGATATTAACAATATAAATGGGAAGTTGCCGGGTTTTTAAACCACTATAGGTGATATCCATACCGTTCAAATAAAATGGAAGTAAATTATCGCAATTTTATTTCAGCAAAATATAATATTACCAAAACCTTTATAGTTTATACAAACCGCAACTTGCAAATTTATGACAGAAAAATACGCATTTGAGGTACTCAAAATTACTATTTTGCCCCTACTCTAGTTATCGTCTTGCCACTTGTGTTTGCTCTCTCTCTTCACTCTACAGTGGTTTTTGGTTATTCGCGCTCTTTACACTGCAGCATGGTCCCTCTCTCTCTCTCTAAAATATACTCTCTTTCTCTCTCAGTTGCTTTTCTCTCTCTAAAGATATATGGATGAAAGAGGACATTGAAAAGTGGAAAACCTTATCTGAACCTGCCGGAAAATGCTACTGAACCTGTCGGTTGGGTTTAGTGAGATAAAAAGCAGTTAGAGAGAAAAAAAAAAAATTTATAGTGAAAAGAGTTACATGGTTTGGGTTCTCCTGCATTTCTTTTTCTCTTTTTCCCCCTCTTTTCCCCATACTGGCTTTTGGTCCTTTGCCCCCAAAATAAAAAAAGCCTTCAGAAAGCTAGAAGGAAGCTTCTCCTCTCTCAAAACCCATCTCCTTGTTCATTAGAAGTAGCAGAATCTCCAGCTCTCTCTCTCTCTCTCTCTCTCTCNCTCTCTCTCTACTCTTCTCTCTCTCTCTCTCTCTACTCTACTACTCTCTCTTACTACTCTAACTCTACTACTACTACTACT